TATTTTTATTGTTGTATTAGGAGTTTTTAATTCAAACCGGAGGAATATTGTTTTTTGATTTTAAAAGAGAAGAGAAGGGGAGATAGACACAAAAGAGAGACGAAAGAGAGAAATATACAATATGAGATCAACATAGAATCACGTCCCCCATCTGGAGATCAAACCCACAACCTCGGGTATGTACCCTGACAGAGAATCGAAACCCGGGACCTCTTGGAGAACAAGAATGAGACTCCCACAAACTGAGCCACCTGGTCAGGGCAACACAGAATTGTTTTCCTCAAGGGTGAAGTTTTATAGAGTGAGGAGGGGGGGTGAGGAGAAAGAGAGAGAAGAAAGACAAAAAAAAAAAAGGAAGAAGGTTAAGGGTAGCATCACCATGGTTTCTTACAAGTCCAGAAGGAAAAGAGAATAGCTCATAGAGCAGGGGTGCCATAACACACTCAGCCAGTAGGTGTCACCATTCAACATATAACCCAGGTGATGCCCCTCACCCCCACTCACCATTGTTGCAGTGCCGGATGCAGTCCTGCAGGACAGCCTGCCACTTCTCCTGCTCGGCCTCCGTCATCATGCAGAAGTAGTAGTGCCGTGCAGAAGGGTGCCAGAGGATGAGTGGGAACTGCGTGGGGCACTTCAGGATGGGGGCAGTGCCTGATTTTGATGTGATCCCTGTGTAGACAGTAGCCCCTGAGCAGCTGCCCTCTGCAAGTTCCGATCTGAGGGTCAACTCAAGCCCAGAGAGGGCTGCCTGTCCAGGGGAGGCAGCATCCTTTCTTGCCGCGTCCTCCACAGCGTGGCTAACGGGGCCCCGGTGTCTGTTTAGGCCCATTTCTTAGCTGGTGATGCAGTGCATGCCCCCCTCTTGGGGAAGGTCTGAGCTCCTGTGGGAGGCACTGATAACACAGGGTCAGAGCCCTCGGGTTCAAAGGCCGAGCATTACCTTCTTGGGTTTCCCTTCGAATGTTAGCTATGGAGGCCAAAGTGTGGCTTAAATGTCCAAGGGGGAAGGGAGGCCTGGGGGCGGGGGACAGGAAAAATAAAAAGGCATTTTTCTCTCTCTATTTTGTCTGCATGGATATTTGAGATCCAGTGAGATAAGTGGTCCTGGGCTGCGACCTCGCCACTGTTGTTAATAACAAAACAATGACGGTTCTTCTTTGTGCCCTGGCTCTGTCCGTGTCCCGGTGCTGGGCTCGGCACACCCAGACCTCATGGGGTCCACACAACACCCCAAGGTCAGGCTTCTCAGTGCTGTGTTGCCCAAAAAGACACAGCAAAAACAAAACCAGAGTGCGGGTTGGGATCCAGGAATGCTCACTCCAGCTAAGCTCTCAGCCAGGGGCTCTATAGTCGCAAGTCCCATGTAGGGGCCCATGCTGCCCCCCAGGCCAGCATCCTCCCCTCTTTAGTTCCCTGGGATCACCTGAGAGGCAGCTGTGCCCCTGTAAGGCTTCTGGGGGTCTGTGACAAGGTGGGGTGCACAGGACTCGGAGAATAACTCCTGGAAAATGCAGTATTGACTCAGCAGTTTACAAACCAGGGTCACCCCGATCATCTTCTCCCGGGAGTCTCTCAAGGACTCGGGGAAGAGGAAGGAGAGACAGCGAGGTCCCCAGTGCACAGCTGTGATTATAAGCTTCAGGAAGCAGGGGACTCGGGGACAAGGGGGGGCAGGGCACGGGTCCAGCCTGGATTCACTGCGTGGCCTCGGGCCTCCTCTCTTGGGGCTTAGTTCATGCTGGGCACCTGCCCGCAGCTCCAGGCCCAGCTGGTCTTTCTGCAAATGTGGAGCCTGGAGCTCCGGGATCAGGGCTGCCCTCTCCCTGGGCCAAATCCCTGGGCCTGTGCAGGGCACTTCGGCCTGGGATGGGTGCTCCTTTACCTGGTAAGGAATTGCCAACCAGCTCCAGGTACTGGTCCACGGAGGTGAGGATTTTGTAGCCTGCACTGTTGATGACAGCTCGGGGTGGCACATGCCGCTCATAGGCCTGCGGAGAGGGCGAGAGAGATGGTCCCTGAGGGTTACAGGTAACGCCCAAGCCAATCCCATCTCCAGCTCTGACTCCAGGACCCTCCTCTGTGTTGCTGCCCAAGGCGGGAGGAGAAGAGGGGAAGGAAGAAGAGACACACAGGGAAGAGGAAGAGGAGTCTACCCAACCCGATGACGAGGGTCAACATGGTATAGTGACCTGAACCCAGGCTCTGGGCTCAAATCCTGGCACCACCGAGTGCCGTCTGTGTGATGCTGAAGATAAGGTTGCTCCACCTCCTATGCTTCAGGGTCTTCACCCATAAAACCAGGATAGTAATGACCCCCTCCTCACTGAGCAGATAATCCACATGAAGTGATGAGCACGGTGCCGGGCACAGCGGGACAGTGAGCACGCGGAGGTTATTATCATTACTGCGACTGCTGCCTCTGTTATCAGCAGGTATCCCCAGCCAGGTGTTCACTATCTACCAGGCACTGTGCTACGGGTACCGCATGCTTCGTTTCACAGAATTTGCACAATCCAGCAGGTGGGTGCCATTATTAGCCACAAGTTCACACAGCTGGTAAGTGGGGACCTAGGACATGAACCTGGACTGTCAGCCTCCAGAGCCCAGGGTGTCTGACCATTTCCCTGAACTGTCCACCAAGCCCTGGGTTCTGAGCACCACACAAGTCTCTGTGGGGGAGAGTCAGGTCTGGGCACTGCTTCCTTTCCCAGCGGGGAGCAAAGTGGTTCTGCTGCAGTAAGTAGCTCATACAGCAGGGCTGCCATGCCGCACTCTGCCACTAGGTGTCACTACGCAGCACATTCTTGAGAGTAGCTCAAACCTGG